CACTAATTTAATATCAGTCAGTACGTTTTAACAATTCACTAATTTAATATCAGTCAGTACGTTTTAACAATTCACTAATTTAATATCAGTCAGGACATTTTAACAATTCACTAATTTAATATCAGTCAGGACGTTTTAACAGTTCACTAATTTAATATCAGTCAAGATGTTTTAAAATTTCACTAATTTAATATCAGTCAAGAGTTGTAACAGTTCATTAACATCTGCCAAGAAAATCTATCAAATATATTGTATATTAACAATTTCTATAAAATTAAGCAAATGTGGGACTTTTTTAAAAAAAGAAACAAATAATATATTCACAAGCTTAGATTCAAATATTATTAAAAACCATAAGCATGCATTCTGAAACTTTATCACATCAAACAGGCACAAGAAATTTAAATGTTGCATCATATAATTACATTTTCCTAAAAGCTATAAAATCATTTATTATAAATCATCAAAAATATACTAATATCCGTGCAAAATAAAACCAGCAAATCTTACTTCAGGCTACACGTAATGCATCTCTTAACTGATAAGAAAGAAAAATCATTTCAGTAAGCGGTTCTGTATGCAACTTAATTTACACTTGAAGATAGGGCAAGAAAGATTAGCACCGTTCACAGAAATATCTTAGACTATTTCATCTTCTACATATAAACCTTCCCCATGAAGGTGGAGAAATTAGTCCATATTGGTGGTACTATCCCCTCCCCTCCCCTGAAGGGACCTCATTTTCCTCATGAAGATACAGAAATTAGCCTATACTAGTAGTACAACCCCCACTCACTGAATAAAGCTTTTTCTCGATGAACACATAGAAATTAGCCCATATTGATGGTACTACCCCCTCACCCCAAAGGAAGCTCATTTTCATCATGAAGATGGAGAAATTAGCCCATATTAGTGGTATACTGCCAACCCCTGAAGAAATCTCCTTTACTACACAGTGACAACTAAAACTACCCTACTGCAGAAACCTCTGTATTACCGGCTGCAGTCCCACTTTTCTTGAGTGCTTACAACCTGAAGAGTGTAATCCCAGAATTCCTTCCAAGTGTTGTCATACTTAGCAACAACTGGAACTGCTAAACATTCAACCCAGTCTTCATTCTTTCCTGTCAGGAGACCCTCCTTATCAAATTCATAGACATCACCTGTAACACACACAAAATACATACAGTGATATTGTGAAAATTAAAAACAAACCCTAGAAACCATTAAGATATTATAGATTAAAAAAAGAAAGAAAGAAAACATAGCATGTTTTGGCTATATAATGAAACAATGGGAGAACAAAATGTATATAATGCACAGACTTAAAAAAATCAGATTAATTACTACATTTCCAGTATACACAAGTGGAAACAATGCACACTAAAGAAACACATTTGAGCACTAATTTCTTGAGAAGTACATATTATTATTTAGTTTCTGATCAATATCATCACTAAAAGCCATCCTTATTGACGTGTAAAACAACTAAGATGTACTAAAGTCCTGATAAATTTCCTTAAACTAGACAACATTTGTCTTCATCAGGTCTAGTGTGTATGCCATGTTGCTCAGTTGTTATCAATGTAATTAAGATAGACTGGATTGTATGCTGCATATATAAGATGCAATAAATTCTATGTTAATTAATAACAGATTTTGCTTAAACATGAATAAGGATAAAATGTTGCTGAAGTTATTTCATTTACTTAATTACACAGCACTTAATTGGTTACTAATATATTTTAATAAATGCTTACTAAAATACTTTATAGACAGTTACAACGATAGTTGTTGAATTACACACTAATACATTTATAGACAGTTACTACGATACTCGTTGAATTACACAATAATACATTTATAGACAGTTACTACAATACTCGTTGAATTACACACTAATACATTTATAGACAATTACTACAATACTCATTGAATTACACACTAATACATTTATAGACAGTTACTACAATACTTGTTGAATTACACACTAATACATTTATAGACAGTTACTACGATACTCGTGGAATTACACACTAATACATTTATAGACAGTTACTACGATACTCGTTGAATTACACACTAATACATTTATAGACAGTTACTACAATACTCGTTGAATTACACACTAATACATTTATACAGTTACTATGATAGTTGTTGAATTAGATGCTAATACATTTATAAACATTTACTATAATACTTGTTGAATTACACACTACTACACTTATAAACAGTTACTACAATACTTGTTGAATTACACACTACTACACTTATAGACAGTTACTATAGTTGTTGAATTACACACTACTACACTTATAGACAGTTTCTACTATAGTTGTTGAATTACACACTAATACATTTATAGACAGTTTCTACTATAGTTGTTGAATTACACACTAATACATTTATAGACAGTTTCTACTATAGTTGTTGAATTACACACTAATACATTTATAAACAGTTACTAAATACTCGTTGAATTACACACTAACACATTTATAAACAGTTACTACAATACTCGTTGAATTACACACTAACACATTTATAAACAGTTACTACAATACTCGTTGAATTACACACTAACACATTTATAAACAGTTACTACAATACTCGTTGAATTACACATTAATACATTTATAAACATCTACTACAATACTTGTTGAATTACACATTAATACATTTATAAACATTTACTACAATACTTGTTGAATTACACACTAACACATTTATAGACAGTTCCTACAATAGTTGTTGAAGTACACACTAATAAGTTTATACAGTTACCACGACAGTTGTTGAATTATGCACTAATATATTTATAGACAGTTACTACGATAGTTATTGATATACATAAACAGTTAAACATCACTCTTTCCCTCAGATTAACTTGACATTATAAGAACTTACAGGATACTTCCAAAATGTAAAAGTTTTACAACTTGGCCAAGGATGAAAACCAAAGAAGACTAGAACACCATACATAAATTACACAAAATAGCATGTACTGGACATAAAGTATTGAAAGAAAAAGAGAAATGATTCAGTTTAGGAAATTTGAATTCAATCTATAAAACATATTTAAAATGATTTCCACTGAACATCACATACACTATCTTGAAGAGTTACAGAAAACTTAAAAACTTAAACAAGAACAAGTCAATTAAATTTCCATTACAGGTAGTAGAATAAAATCTACACAGTTTGTATAATTAGTCATTTAGTTTTCAGCTTCAATAAGAAAGGCGAGGAAAAAATAATAAAGTGCTCATATTAACAAGTATTTTCTATCAAATGTATCATTTTCCACCATGACGATGGTATCTGGCAAAATATGTGGCAAAACACAGCTTAATGTAACAACAGTAACATCTGGGCTAAAATTAATGTATTCTGTAATAAAACAGAAATACATAATAAAAATTTTAATAAAAGACATTTCTATAATTAATATTTAAAACCATCCACACCTGGTGAATCTCAACAATTATAGAATTAAGACAATTATACATTTCACAAGTATTTCATTTATTACAACCACGGTTTCAGTACGGGTATCACCGCATTACCTGAAACCATGGTTGTAATAATCTTTCACCACTGATTTTTCCAAGCCCGTTCCCTTGGCTGTGGTTTCGCTAGATAGTAGATAGGGACAGTGGGAATCTCGTTAATCCATGGTTTCAGTACGGGTATCACCGAATTACCTGAAACCATGGTTGTAATAAATGAAATATTTGTGAAACTACAAATGTCTTTGTTTTTCTAAATTCTATAACATACATTTCATCTAGATAATGTGTCGTGTACTTGTAGCATCAACATGTGTATAACCTACACAAGTCTACAGACCAGACCAAACATTCCCACACACTTTTATAAAAATGTAACATAAATAAAACAGTTGATTTTTTTATTTCTATGATGTATTATATAAAACTGAAATATTTAAAGACATAATCAGGATTTTCACAAATTATAACAGTTTGAAAAAGAAAATATAATATGTATGGCACTGATAAACTAATCAAAGCCAATTAATGCATAATCAACAGGCACTATGCAGTAAGATACCACACAAAAATAATTTATCTTCTCTTCTTTAAGACAAAACCTTTTCAGCAATCAATCTGAAATGATGAAAACTTTCTCCAAGTTTTTCACCTGAATAAACATCAGTTTGGTCAGGTCAGTGACCCCAATGTTTCAGTCTTCCCTAATTTTGAAGTGGGAGACAGTCAGTAGCACTCACCATGTAGCACCTACTTTTAACTGAATAGTGGAAGTGACTGCCACTTTTATAACACACTCAAATTAGAAAGTGTGAAACATGTTTGGTAGCACAAAATACCAAAATTAAAACTTTCACCTCCTAAAACAATTTTACTCAAAAGGTGCTTCATCAACCACCTTTGTAAAAATGCTGTGGTAACAAATAGACTCAACAATTTACTTTGTAAACATGCTTTCATTACGAACGCACTCAACAATTCAAATAATTACCTACCGAAACATAACAGCATGATTTTTCTAACAAAAACTTGAATGAAGTGACACTTGATCCCAAGCCATCTATAGCCTTTCTATAATTGACCAAACTTCACACTTTTCAATCTCTTTATTTGTGTAACAAGGAGTTTGTACAAAGCTTTCCACAACTTAACATAAACATAATATATATTAAATGCATAAAAACATAATTATGCAAGTACTTCTGCTTACCTTCAGAACTAGTAACACCAATGTGAAGATCTGAAGAGTTTCGATAATTGCTGAAACAGACATTAAGAAAATTTTAAAATGAGAAATGGAACAAGAACAAAAACTGACAAACTGTACAGAATAACTTTTATAGTGTATAATTATTAATATAAATATTCATTAAAATGTTCTTGTAAGTAAAATTCAACAAAAACTAAATCATATCAAAACATTTTTCTTGTCCTCTTTCATTAATTTTTTTAGCATATACAAAAAGAAATTATTTATTTAATTTTCTACTGTAAGTTAATCATTTTTTACATAACACTGGATAAGTAACAATCTGGCATTGGGAAAACCAAGTTTGTAGATAATGTTTCTTCCAATAGGAGTCTCAGTACATGAATAGAAATGTTGGTAACAAGTTTCAATACTGAAAGGTGGGATTTTATTCACACACACACACATGTAAAAACAAACAATATTTACTGAAGAAATAGCACAACTCCTGACTAGGTAAAAAGAATAACACTGTTACAATTCAAGCTCTGATTATAGTAAAAAGAGCTAACACTGTTACAATCCAAGCTCTGACTATGGTAAAAAGAGCTAACACTAATAATCCAAGCTGTGACTATGGTAAAAAGAGCTAACACTAATAATCCAAGCTCTGACTATGGTAAAAAGAGCTAACACTGTTACAATCCAAGCTCTGTCTACAGTAAAAAGAATAACACTGTTACAATTCAAGCTCTATCTACAGTAAAAAGAGCTAATACTGTTACAATCCAAGTTCTGACTATGGTAAAAAGAGCTAACACTAATAATCCAAGCTCTATCTACAGTAAAAAGAGCTAACACTGTTACAATCCAAGTTGTGACTATGGTAAAAAGAGCTAACACTGTTACAATCCAAGCTGTGACTATGGTAAAAAGGGCTAACACTAGCAATTTCTCCCATTTTATTTATGTGTAGAACTATGCTAAATAGAACTCAATTCCAAAAAGTTCTGAGCTCTTGGAAGTCCAGAACTATTTTCACGTTCTTTGAGTTCTAAATCAAACTTTGTTTCAAGAATTTTGTTCGTTTTTCAAATATGAAGCACTGTGGTTGCACAAGTTTCTTATTTCACACCATTTTCTTTTTCTTCTTTCCTTCAATTCAACCAATCAATGTGTGTGTGTGTGTGTGTGTGTGTGTGTGTGTGTGTGTGTGTGTGTGTGTGTGTGTGTTTAGACTCATGCAGGACCAAAGACAGTTAGTTCAAGCAATACTATCAAGTGGTTCTTGATATCATGTGATCTTTAGCATGCACTCGTTGCTGTGAAAGTAAAGAAATATACATTTCCCAGTATAAACAGTAGTGAAGTTAGGTTAGGCACACCTGGTTCCTGAGTTTAGATTTCGTAGATCTGAAGTTATTTATTGAGACCTGATCTAACCTTTTACTTGGAGTATGCTGAATTAGATTACCTTGTGCAATTTTGCTTTTGTTATTACACCAAGTATGCCAACTAGCTGGATAAGAGCAAATAAAACTTAAATCAATACAGAAAAATCTTTATCCCAACTTCTATTTTCAGAGATGAGACTTTTTCCTCAAGTACAACTATTCTCTCAGTTAAGTAAAGAATACTTTATCCAGTGCTATGTTTATTTGACATGGAACAGTGGACTAATTTCACACAAATACTTTAAACAATGATGCACCTTAAATTTTATGACTGCAAGTATAATAGATAAATATGATTTGATTCTATTGTATTTTGTCATTCTGGAAATATCCTGTTCCATCAATAACATTATTGTGGTTTTCTCTCAGTTCATGACAGCAATTAATATCAGAACAGTTAATTACAATATTAGAAATGTGTGTGTGAATGAGTGTATTCAAGGTTTTTCAAGGAATGTGACCTTATCGTAGATAAAATGACTTCAGAGAATGTACATGTTTTTGTGACCTTATCGTAGATAAAATGACTTCAGAGAATGTACATGTTTTTGTGACCTTATTGTAGATAAAATGACTTTAGAATATGTACATGTTTTTGTGACCTTATCGTAGATAAAATGACTTGAGAATGTACATGTTTTTGTGACCTTATCGTAGATAAAATGACTTTAGAGAATGTACATGTTTTTGTGACCTCATTGTAGATAAAATGACTTTAGAGAATGTACATGTTTTTGTGACCTTATTGTAGATAAAATGACTTTAGAATATGTACATGTTTTTGTGACCTTATCGTAGATAAAATGCTTTAGAGAATGTACACGTTTCAATTTGAGAAAATGAAAAACTTGCAACTGTACTCTTAAAGCAACAAATTCTAATATTTAGTCACTGGTAAATACATAAATAACTGATGATCTAAGATAAATATTGTTATTTTACTGAAACTAGCTGATCTAATATATTCTTGGAACTGATGAAAATATGAAACTAATGGGTTTAAGAAGTATTATGCCAACTTTAAAAAAAATGATACTACTATAACTGAAACTAAAATTTAGCACATAGGATGAGAAAATATATATTTTGATTTTAAACATACAATTAACATTTCCTGGTGTGAAAATTAAAGGAACAATGGATGGATCTAATCAGGAATAATAATTTCTAACACATGTCACATCCAGTTGTAAATGAATTAACCACTTGAGTTTTGATACAAATGTTTTGTATCTCAGTTCACAGACTGGTTAGTTACATAAACTAACTGATTAACCAATATAATCAATTATCTATAAGAAGCAACCATAATGATTAGTTACACACACTAACTGGTTAATCAATATAATCAATTATCTATAAGAAGCAACCATACTGATTAGTTACATATACTAGCTGATTAATCAATATAATAAATTATCTATAAGCAGCAACTATACTGATTAGTTACACACACTAACTGATTAATCAATATAATCAATTATCTATAAGCAGCAACCATAATGATCTGCTGTACGGTACAGCAGAGAACTATGCTAAATAGAACTCAATTCCAAAAAGTTCTGGGCTCTTGGAAGTCCAGAACTATTTTCACGTTCTTTGAGTTCTAAATCAAACTTTGTTT